TTTTTGATAACATGTTGATAAAAACCAGCAGGCGTTTACTCTTATGTTTTTTTTTCAAGTTTCATTTTTTACGTCTTCTTTATTCTAATAACTTTTTGGAACAACCGGGCAATACCTCGAAATAACCGGGTTAAAAGTTTCTGTTTTGGGGTTACTTTACTTTCCTCGTTAGGTTTGGTGTCCCCATGAGTATTTCCAGAGTCTTGTACTTCTTTCTGTTCACTGGAAATCTGATTTATGACTAATTGGTCTTCTTTCTGTTCACTGGAAATGGGATCTTTGAGAAAATAGGCTAATTGATCTGTAACATTAAATGTGATTAGTTAAAATAAAAATGGATTAAAAATTATAAATTTTTACCATCAGAAAACCGGGGGAGCTCCATATCAGACAGTCCTATACCAAAAAATATATATTATGCAAATTTTAGCATTATTTTTCCCTATATCAATATCAACAGATATCTAAATACCTTCAGTATGACATAGAATAAAATCGCTAGTATAATACAAGGAGCTATTTTGGAATTCATTGGTTTTCTCAATAGTGCTTCGAGTGATAAAATGATCTTGTCCCGTGTGCGCTTTTTCAAAGAAATAGTCAAGAAGTTCTTGAGTGTCCGGCCTTTTATCTGGATTAGAATCCCAACACCGTCGCATCAATTCTTCATATTCTTTTGGAACATAATCTGGAATTTCTGGACGGGATCCATAAATAATCTCAAATTGCAAATCAATATCATTTTTTCGCCCCACGTATGGTGATTGACCAGTGTCTATGTAATACATCAGCATTCCAAAGGCGTAAACATCAGATTTTATCGAGTATTTTCCTTTGCTCAGGACTTCAGGGGCGATATAGGATACAACACCATAAACTCTGTTGACTTTATTTGTCTTATCCAGAGATCCACTGATTCCAAGATCAGAAATGTACCATGCAGATGAATATGACATAAGAATATTTTTAGGATGTAAATCACAATGCACTAAATTAACATTAAAATGAAGTTGGTAAATTCCGGAGATCAAAGCCCAAAGGATTTTGTTTATATACTTCCAGCTAATAGTTGAATGTTCTTCAATATATTCCTGTAGGTTGCATTTCATCTTCGATAATACTAACATGTAACTATCATCAGTTGGATCGTATGTGATCCCTAATCCCCACACCAACTTAGGGGAAATGCTCGTAAAATGGAGATGATTTTTAAGCTAAATATAAGATTTGAATTAATTAATACATAAAAGAATAAAAAACTTTTCTTACACCAACCTCGTCCAAATTCAATTCAATACCACCAGTAAATTTTTTTAAAATGACCTCCTCCTTATTTTCACTTCTCTCCAACTTTCTTGTCTTCTTATTCCATTTTTTATATATCCCCCTCATCAAATGTGCAGTGTAAATGGTCGAAAATCCACCAGCTCCTTTTTCACGAATGTTACTAAAATAAACATACGGAATCCACTCTGGGATGCGTCCAGGCAATGGAGTTCTAATTTGTGCTTCAAGAATGGAGCGATCGATTTGTTCATTTCCTGAAGTCCATCTAGTTGCCTCGTCCTGCAGGAAATCTATGACGCATGGCTGACAACAAAGGATCATATACCCTTCTCTGTCACATTCATTACAACGGTACATTTGGTCTTTATTTGTTAATAAATTATAACGGTCTTTGATCATTGTTACCATTATTTTGGCTTCATCTTTTTCGGCTTGAGTTAGTGTGTTATCGTTATCAATCAATTCACACATAGGTTCATAGGCTTGATTATAGGTTTTGATGCTGCCGACGAACGTCTCGCGCATGGCGCGGCTGATTGCTTTGTCAATTAATTCTTTGTTTATCGTGTCTGTCATGACAAGGTCTTTTGGAAGAGCTCAGAAATTACGATTTTCCTTGGCAAAAGTGATTGACGTGACATAAATAATTGTAAATACTACCGTAATTGGTTAAATTAAATAAATAATATGAAAATGTACTGTAGTTGTTACAGTACAGTGTTACATATTAGAGAAAGCTATTTCATGTAAATTCACTCGTATTATACAATATTGAATATTCCTATTTTTTTTTCCCACTTCACATTGGTTGGAAAATATGCTTCAGTAATAAAAAGACGTAAAAAATGAAACTTGAAAAAAAAACATAAGAGTAAACGCCTGCTGGTTTTTATCAACATGTTATCAAAAA